AAAGATTCATAAAGTCAACATCCTAAAAAAGTTTCAGCAATAAATTGATTATTGTTTCTCATAGTATTAATTAATTCTCATGTCTCATTTGACTAGTCTAAATGTCTTGTACGAATAAGAATTGTTATAACACAGAAAACTAATTTTTGATTTTACATGATTCTAAATATGAGAACATGAATATTTTCGAAATTTTATAGTTCTTTATAACTAAATGAACAAACTTTCGAGATTTCTTTTTCTTCTTTTATTTAATTTAAATCAATGATATTGAAGATATTGCAATCATGATTAGTATTGGAATTGCTTTTAATCACAATGAGATTATTTTAGAATGATCTACTATTTCTTTTGATCTTTGATTTAGTCGGAAGATACTCATAAAAGACATTCGAACAAAACTCGCTTTTTTAAATTCTTTCACACATTCTGAAATTGTCTGATTTTAGCTGATCCTTCGCTTTTGTTGAGTATTCGACGTTTAAAATTTTTTGAGAATAAGCTTAGGTAGTCAATTGTGCTGTTTGTTTTTCTCTTTGTATCGAACAACAGTTTATGAATGAAATGTATGAAAAGAACAACTGGAATGCGTATCCACATCGAACAAATCTCTTTATTATATCTTGACAGAATTCTTTTTACTAGGTTTTGCCGCTTTTGAAGAGTCGAAATTTCGACAAGAGTGAAACGTCGAATACATCCCACGTCATGATTACATATTAGACAAAAAAAAAAGCATAACACACATTTTATAATGCATGTATTTCATTCATTTAAAAATGAGACACTATCGAATTATTCTAAGAGATTCTTTTAAAAATGCTATCGAAACCTTGTTGTCTTCGAATGTCTTTGGAGGATGATCTCCCATGCAATTCAAATCATTCTATTCTGGTAAGACGACTTGCATTTCCTAGAAATTCCATAATATAGGTCAATTATATATTGAACATTATCTTTTGAAAGATTATCCTATTTCACTTCCAAAGTTTTCTAGTTTCGAATGCACTATCATTCATTAGTTTGACAATGGTATTTGCGGATGTTACAGAAGTTTTCCTGAAAAACTTCTAATATAAAGGATGATATTCGAGCCTCAGTTATTAAAGTCTTATAAGCTCCTCTTTAGATCTGTAACACAGAGGATATAACTAGCAAGAATACTCCCTCACATTCTTCGTATGAATTTTCCAGAAGTTTTTTTTTTCAGGATCTTTTCGACTATTTCTATAGAGTCCGTGATACACTTTATTATCAAACGGAAGGGTTTAGGCTCAAGACAGTCACTTAGCTGAGGATGAGAGCTGATCAATCCCAGTAATCTTTCATGCCTGGAAATTTTCTTCAAAAACTGGCGACAGCGGCTTACACTTCTAAATGTGGAACATGCTGAGGCCTATGTTTTTGACTTTTAGTATTGAACAATTCAATATTTTGAGCTGGAATTTTTACTACGGGTCTTCTAGATCTGGAAATAGATCTCTTAAAAATTTTAGATACAGTGGTGGTTCTGGAGCAAATATGCGTTTTTAACGTGGAGGTTTAAAAATCAAAACATTCTTCTCCCCCGAAAACCAAGCAAATAACCAATTATTTGCTGCCAAACTAACATGAACACCAATTCTTTTGATTAACTAGTTGAAATTTTGTTTAAATTCTTCGGATAGTTCATCTTGAATATACAGTATTATCAAATAGAAAACAACAGCAAAAAAAAATGAAAAAAAGAAAAAAAAGAAAAAGAAACATCTATCGTTGTAACTGTGTCTGTTTGAATGCGAGTTTGTAATATATGTATATAAAAAAAAGAAGAAGAAGAAGCGAAAGAAAAAAAAGAAAGAAAGAAAGAAAGCAATCAATAAACAGTCTTTTGTTGCAACAAAAAGAGAAAAAAATTCAATGTTTACTTGTCAATAGACGAATTTCTATCTACATAATTAGTTGGTCACATTTTTTTCTCATCAAACATATATTTATAAGAACCGAAAAAGGAAAATAGTAAACAAAAATATGAATAAATCTCTCTGTGTTAATGATGGTCAAATTTTTTTAACAAAATATCAAAAAGAAAAAAAAAGACAAAGATAAAGAATTTTTCTTTTTTTTCAATTGTAAACACGCACTCGGTTTCGACTAGCACAACAATAGATGAACTTTTATTCAGTTAATATGTGTCTAAAGAATTATCATCAACCATTCCATTTGATGATGATGACGGATCCGATGGTTGATGATTAATATTGCTCGTTCGAGAATATTCCTATAATATTTATTATCTCAATTTTTATTGCTTTTGTTTATTTTATTTTATCAAACTTACTGTAACAGGTACAATTGGATAATTCGTCCAGCCAGCTGCATTACTAGCATCTGACGTAGGCCCTACAGAAAAAAAATGTAATGAATTTTTCTTTCCTAATAAATCATTGTTAAAGAAAAAAGGTATTTCATTTACATCTCGTATTTTGAAATGGATTTGTAGAAGATGTTTGATAAAATAAATTATTTGATGATGGCACACCACCTACTTGATTGCTCATCTGTTGTGGATAATTAACATTCATACCAAGTGAATGACATTGTTCAAGTTGTTGAGTTATACCCATTAATCCACCTTCTTCAACACTAGCAATTAACCATATTGGATCTAAAATAAAAACAATAATCTATGAAATTCTAATCTTCTTTTTTTTCTCAAAGGCATTTATAAAGTTTTAAACCACAAACGATATATCTGTAGATAAGTAGAACAAGACTTTCTCTATATAATGATGTATTGTCAACAGAGGACACCATCTTCGCTGTGACTACAGTCAAATATG